TATATTATGTATGTGTGTGTGTGTGTGTGTGTGTGTGTATTTTTGGTACAAATGGGGTTTCACTATTTTGCCCAGGCTGGTTTCAAACTCCTGGACTCAGGCAATCTACCCATTTGGCTTACCAAAGTGCTGGGATTACAGACACGAGTCATCATGCCTAGCCAGTTCTAAATATTTTACCAGGACTGTGTTGTTGAATATGGTGCTGCTCTTATTCTTAGTTGCTGCTCTTAGTCAACACAAATGGGTAGCTAGAGGAGTTTCCTGCCAAAGTAGTATGATTTTCCCCCATACTTAATGTCTGTTATCGCTATTACTCTACCTTTTTCTCTCTTCCCCTAAACTTGCTCATGTAAAACGATTTTGGAGGGTGATAATGTTTGTAATATCACTAGTAGAATTGGTTGAAACTTGTAATTCTCAGAAAAGAGACAGTGCTTAAATTTATTCTAAGATATTAGTAACTAAAGCTAAATTCTTCCCTAGGCAAAAGCCTTAATTTTTTGAGTAGAGTTTTGGGGTGAGGGTGTGAACTTGAAGCCACTGGATTCCATGGCTTCCTGAAGAAATGAAAAGAACAGAGTCTATAAGACACATTTGCATACTTTAAATTTTGCTTAAGGTTAGCTGTTTTTTGTTTTTGTTTTTTGCAAATGTGTGTGTGTGCGTGCCCGACAGTCTCAAGAAATGCTAAGTCATGAGCAAATCTAGTTAAATATCTTCAATAAATAGTGTTAGGCCCAAAGATGAAAATTTTAAAAATGGAAGTTCTAGTCTAGCTTCTGACAAGATATGAATTTACTTAAAAGTGAAATAAGGATGTGAGAAAATACAATGTAATTTTGCAAGATAGAATGATTAATTGATAAATGAGTCAAATCCTTGTTGTGCTTTCAATTCAAACAGAACAGTATCTTCTTGGACTACAGGGACCCAAGAAGACTGCAGAAGAAACATTTGAATTTAACCTTATAGCATGGAGGGAAATTAGACATGAGGAGAGGAGGTACAGGACCATGGCATGGGAGATTACTTCCCGTTTGTAGAATGAGACTATTACCACTTACCAACTACATGACCTATCATATTTTCCTGACTGGCAGCCAGATTGTTCTCTGCTGTTTGTACATAAAACTGCCTGGGGCAATACTGGTGCTGCCTCCTAGTCAAAGTCTAATCCAGAGTGAAAAGTCCAGGCTAACACATCAATTCCTCTAAGTAAAGGTGGTGAACACTTTGTGACACTTAACTGGAAAATCTGTATTTAGTGTCTCTAATAGGCTATTTGACATATTAAGTTAGGTATGAGATAGTTCACTTCTAAGTTCCTTTCAAAAATGAATTTTCTTATTTTTTATATGACTACTTTCCTGTCTCTCTCTCTCTCTCTACACACACACACACACACACACACACACACACACACACGTAGTATTTGGTTCAGCTCCTCTTTTTATTATTATGTGATTTTTTTGAGTCCTAAAATCACATAGCCTCAATATTCTATTGTTGGTTGTTGGTATGGCAAATATGACACTATAAAAAAAAATCTTTGGCAAACTTTCCTAGAACTGGGCTAAAAAAATGATGCGGGAAAGATCAAAAGGCTGACAAGTTTCACAGTATTGTTTATTCCTGCACAATGACTGATGGTCTTGCTGGTTCTTGGTTCTGGGGATATAAAAGGGTAGAAAAGGCCAGAAGATTGCAGTGTTTCAGGAAATGCTTCACACACAGTCCTTATCATGGCGTGACCAGCTGTACCACAAGAGCCGGAAGGAATTTTAGATACAGAGGAGCCCTTTCATGGGTAGTCAAGGGGCTAAAAAGAGCAGGGAAAATAACTGAAATGTATCACATCCATGAGTCTCCGTTTAATGAAGAATCTTAAAGGTGGAAAGGGACCCAAGTAATCAGGTGGTCTAGCCCCTCAGTTTTTGGATGAGAAGTTACATGCAGAGAAGTCATGTGATTTGTGAGAGTGACAACTAGATTCGAATGGAGGAGAATCCAAGGGTAGTATTATTATTTAAAATACAAAATGAGCTAGATAGAAACAAAGTAGGAATGTTTTCATTTTATATGGGAAGGGAACTTTATCCTAGATATAGACAGAAACAGAATTTCCATGACTAGAATATCTCAAACCAAGTTACCCATGGATTCACTCTTCCCCACTCTAACTCTCAGCTCCCATAATTTTTGTTTAATGTAAGTTCCATTATCATGAAACTTGATCTCTCTTGTCTACTGCTGCATCCACAAGCTCATCTCAGTGACTGCCATATAGAATGAGCTCAATACATATTTGTTGAGTGTATAAATTTACTTAAACTATTCATAGCCATGTAAATGTCATGATTAATGAAATTAATGTCATGAGCCATTTGCGGAAGTGGCATCCATCCAAGTACAAGGACTTGGATT